GGTCCAGGATTATCTTCTGTGTCTGTGTTAATTGGTTTCCCTTTTCTTTGTTGAAGAGGGTCTGTGCAGTCTTTCTGCCTAGTCCGCCATCTTGCCGGATCTCTCGGTTCATTCATCTTTAACCTCTAGCACTGAACATAGTGTTTGAGTCTTAAGACACACTTATTTCCCAGTCTCTCCCAAGCAACTTCCATGCCAAAATTCCCTTTCCTAGGTTGCATAAAAGAAAATTCATAATCAGCTATATCATCCTGCTGGGTCTGAACCAACAAACCACCAAAGCCAATATTCTATCTCTGCAAGTGAGATCACAGGAAGTTTAATAATAATGCATGGATCAAATGTGCCCAATAATAAGATCAAGTTCTTTACTTTAGAAACTGTTAGGCTGGTTTGAAGTTTTTAAGACTGGCCCTAAAGAGGCCCTATTCCCAAACCTCTCTCATAGCAAGCAGAGGGCAAGTAGGGGAAGGTAAATTTATAAGCAGTGTGAGGACTTTCCAAGAAATGTACCTGCATAACTACATCTATTGGGATGCTTCTGTCAAAAATCTTTAGTTTATCTGAAAGTTGTCAGAACTGTATATTTTAAGTGATTTGTTTCACAATAAAAACATGTCTGTGTTGACTATGGGGAGAAAGAGCATGTAGATTACAGACTCTGTGTTTATCTTTCTACTCTGTCCCCAATGATTACTAGAACATTAACCAATATTGATATTTGCAAGGCAGGTGATCTCTCACAGTTGGACGGTCATGCTACTGAAGGTCAGACATTCCCAAACTTTAAGGTGCATATGAATCATCTGGGGATCTTGTTAAAATTCAGTTCCGATTCAGGAAGCCCAGGGCAGGGACTAAGAGTGTGCATTTCTAACAAACTCCTAGATGCTGTGCTGTTGTTCTGAGAATCACATTTAGAGCACTAGGGGTAGTTTTGCCCTAGTGAAAAACTATACTGGATTTATCCACTAAGAATTTCAGAATGAAATTCTTAGTGGATAAAGCTTACACACACACACACATGCACATATATATTACATACACACATATATAGGGAGATGTCATATGTGTCATACACTATTAAAATGTGCTTTCTATAAGAAATGTTTGGCAGAGATTTCTTTTTTTAAATGTGCACTCAACTGTATTAGATATCAGTTATTAATACATGGAGGGGTCGCTATGAGTTGGGTCTGACTCGGCGGCACATAACAACAACAGGGGTCTAAAACTTCATTTCCGTGCATTGTAAACATGTACAAAACAACTTTTTAAACTAAGAAATGGTTTCCCATGACAACTATGACATGTCACTCCTTATTTAAATGCTTTTCTCTATCTTGAATGCAATTTAAGAAAATTGAGGACAGAGATACTGAAAGTAGCTGTTTTCTAGTATGCATGTTAAAACAATGCAGAGGACAAACACTCAATGAATTCAGCAGAACCTACCTGTAATTGTCTTTTCTTTTTGTTTATGGATTTTTTAAAACTAAGAGTATCATAGCACTCATTGACTGTACTTAGTTTAATTCAGCAATAGTCACTGAGTACCCTGGCAGCCATTCCTAATTCCTTTCTCCCTCGTCCATCTGCTGCTATAAAAGCTGAAAGTACCAATTTGTTTCCCCAGCCTCTCTTGCAGCTAGGGGTGGTCATGTTCTAATAAAAGTGAGAGGGAAGTCTTCTAGACACAAGGCTGACACTCAAAAGTATTTAATAATCAATATGCATGAGTGGTGACCAACCAGAATGGAACCTGGACAATAGGTTACTATGAGTTGGAATTGACTAGACAGCAGTGGATTTAGGTATGTACAAACAGAAAATGAAATATTTTCCTCCCTAATAAAGGGAAAGACAGCACTTTTTTCCTTCTTTTTTGCTCCTCTCGTTTCTTTCTATTTGAGATACTTTTTTTCTGAGAATGAGATGTTTGGAGCTGCAGCAGCTACATAGTAAAGCATGAAAGGAGATATAACATTGAGGTGGCAGAGAAGTAAGCAAGCCCAGGTCCTTGATGACAGTTGACCATTAATTACCTACATCTAGGCTACTTGTTGGGAGCTCTGGTAGCATAGTGCCTAAGGCACTTGACTGCTAACCAGAAGGCTGGAGGTTCAAACCTACCAGCCACTCCTCAGAAGGAAAGATGGGGCAATCTACTTCCGTAGTGATACTGCCTCAGAAACCCAAGGAAGGGTCACAATGAGTCGGATCTGACTCGATGGCAGTGAGTATTTTTTTTTTTTGGGGGGGGGGCTACTTGTTGAGATACTCTTTATATTTTAACAACCTGCTGCTAGTCAGATTTTCATTATTTGCTGCTATATGCATCCTGCTATAAGTATTCCCCATGAGCAAGGTGAAGCAGGGCACAGTACCAGTTTCCAAGGCCCAGTAACCTAGAATTCATTCATTCAATCATGCATACCAATCATCCTTTCATTCACTGAAGGATCAATATAGAAAGTCTGACATATGGAAAACTCACTCTTATGTTGCCTAAAGACTATGAAGAAGAAGGAAAAGCTGGTCCTACCCTCCTGTAATTTCTGCTGGCATGTATAGTGTCAACTCTAATGCACAAGGGATGTGGTCGTGCTCCCAAAAATGTTCAAAAGAAAAATAGTCAGAACTCCCAGGAAAAAGGAGGATTTTTTTGGAGGGGGTGGGGGGGATAAAACAGCATTTGGAGCTCTCGTAGTGTAGTGCCTAAGGCACTTGACTGCTAAGCAGAAGGCTGGTGGTTCAAACCCACCAGCCACTCCTCGGAAGGAAGATGGGGCAATCTACTTCCGTAGTGATACTGCCTCAGAAACCCAAGGAGGGGTTGCTATAAGTCAGGTTCAACTCGAGGGCACATAACAACAACAACAAAACAGCATTTAAGATAGGCTTTGAAGCTTGGGTAGATTATGATACACAGGAATTCTAAGAGAAAGGTACAGTAACTATTATAGGTAGGCTGGTTTTCAAAGGCCAACCTGGGAAGGTGGTAGATTGAGGCCATTTGGTGGTGGGCCTTGAGTGCCAAGTTGGGAAGTTTCAACTTATAGATCATGGGGAATGATATAGGTTTTTGAAGCAGGAAATGATGCGTAGTGTTCTAGGAGTGGAAGAGATTAGAGGCAGGCATTAGTTAGGATGCTATTGCAGGAGTCCATAGGGGAGGTAGTAATGAAGGGCTGAATTGGGCATGGGCACTGGGCATGAGATTTACTACTTATAGTATGTCACCTAAGCATAAAGAAAAAGGTAAAATATACATAGCTAATAGGCAGATAAGCCATGAAACCTAGATTATTTTTATTGGATTATTTTGTTTTCACTTGTTTTGGGAGGATGTATCTCAAAGCCAGTGTCAAGGAAGAGAGAAATGTTAAAGATGACTGAGGTTTCAAGCCAGGATGACTTGGAAAATGAATCCTCTGTAAGTCAGGAGGTGGAGTGGGCTTTGAAGGGAAAGATGATGAGTACGTCCCTGAGCAGTTCTGAAGAGCCTGTGAAAATAGGTGAATACGTCCAGCAGTTGATTGGAAATTCAGCATTAAACTGGATATTTGAGACTTGTCTGCAGAGAAATAGTATTTCAAACCAAAAATACGGACCAGCGTGCTCAAGAAGAGGCAATTTGACTTAACCCCTGGGACATGGAATCTGGATAAACACACTAGCTCTTTGAAAGTGCTTAGGGTCCTCATGGGAAATAGTAATCACAGGGAGGAAGTAGAAAGAGTACTGTTACATTGTGGAGATTGTAATCAACATCAAAATGTTTGTGAACTGTTGAATGGAAAATGAATTTGCTCAGTAAACATTCACCCAAATCACAAATAAAAAGTTAAAAACAAAAAATCACTCAGGGTCCTACTCAATATCAGAATGTGGTTCTACTGCACGAAATACTAGAATTTCACATGCTAGTTCCAAATATGTTCATTTGTAACTAATCTATACACTGACAGCATTCTTCTAAAACCTAAGAAACCTCTCATTGCTAAAATTATAGTCTTGTGTATCTGTTTTAAAAGAAATTGGACAAAATCCAGATATTTCAGAAATGGATGAGGCAATCTCCTCCCTCCTCCAAAAGGCTCAAATCAGAGAATTAGTTAAATGAATTCTAGTCTTTAATGGTTTCATGGTCTTTAATTACTTTCTATAAATGTAACTCATTAAATTAGCAGAATCACAGACCTTAAGACTGCCATTTCCTGGTTGAATATTGGCTGGGCTTTCTGGCTAGAAACTCATGAGGAATGCTTCAACTTACCTCAAGAGGTCTGCTCTTTGACCTCATGCAAAAATAGGATACTGTTGAAAAGCCTCTATGTCTCTGGAAAGTTCCAAACATATACATATGCACGCACGCATGTGCACATATGTGTGCACGTGCGTGTGCGTACATACACACACGCACACACACACACACACTTGCCAACTACTCTAACTCCTCCTCCCCAATATTTTAGGGAAAAGAGCTTACAAAGGGTTTGAAGTCTAAGCTTGCTTCTAAATAAATAAAGCAGAGACAGGGGAGTAAATAGATGAAATTGTGTGCTTCCTGCATTTCCACAATTGATTTAAATGGAGGAGAGCTCATACTCACCATCCACAGCTCTGCATCTGGATCATTTACCTGAAATTCCAAAACATCAAGGTATTAGCGGGCATATTATACCTTGTTTCATTCCTACATTTGGTCTGCACTTTTATTCAACCAACACATGTTAAGTGCCAGACGCTGCAATAGGCAGCAAGGGTAAAATATGAATAAGGCGTAGTCTAGCAGATCCTGATGGATAGAGGGGGTTTCTGGCTGAACACGACAGATGGCTTTAACATACAGCTTCACATTTTAAAAAAGAACTGCAAGGAACTCTGAAGAAGATGTGCCAAACCTAGAAAGGGTATTTTACGGGTTCTCCATTGTCAAGAAACGAGTAAAACGATTATGATGAGGGTCCTAAAGCAGACTTAAGGATAAATACTCTATAAAGGGTTTTGTTCTGTTTCCTCCTCCTACACACTGAATATTGTTCAGTTGCATTCCACAGGGTGAACATTAAGAAAGGTACCAGAGCTGCTTCTGCTCAGGTTCTTTTCAAAGTAACATGAGCTGAATAAGCTTAGTCTCATAGCCGGGGACGTTAGAGGGAAAGAAATGCTTTTCAGGTAGCGTGTGTGTGTGTGTGTGTGTGTGTGTGTGTGTTGTGTGTGTGTTGTCTATGTGAGAGAGAGAGAGAAAAAAAAAAAAAACGAGAACGAATACATCTCTATCTTGGGTGGGAGAGCAAGTGGGTACTTTCCAAGTGTAAACCTCCATTCCGGCTCTCCCACTTACATAACCGGCTCTGCAACCCTGCTACCTTATTAGTTTACACAACCCGCCAGGATCCGGAGGGCTCTCGGAGCCCGGAAGTTCGATCTCCTACCGCCCGCCGGGGGCCAGGGGGCTTGGAGGCGTCGCTGCCGCCCGCCTGACCTGCACGAAGGCTGCCAGCGCAAAGAAGGCAGCCATGAGCAAGTTGCATACTCTCCACAGAGTCGATGCCGAGGGCCCCGCCGCCGGCGCCATCTCGTCACGGGGCAGCCTGGGCGGGGCGCGCGGGCTGACCCGGGACGGGCTCAGGGCGGGGATGGCGGCCGTCTGGGGTGCCGGGCAGCGATTCTGGCTGGCTGGGCGCTGGCTCGGTCTGTCGCTCGGGGCAAGACGCCGGGGCTGGGCGGTCCCTGAGGCCGGGCTTCAGCCCCAAATGATATCAAGGGGCCACTGACCGGCGCTCATCGGGCGAGGGAAGGATCCTCACTTGAGCACTTACGGTGTTCTCCCATTTAAGCCTCCCAAGGCTTGTCGAGGTGTGGGGAAGACGAGTCCAGAGCGACTGGGGCATTTGCCTAGGGTCGCACTGCCGTCAGGGGCGCCAGGAAGTCGCCTAAGAACCCATGTAGGTCCAACTCCAAAGCTACTTTCACTAGTTGCCTTCTTCATATTTTAAAAAAAGAAAAAAATTGAGGGGTGCGTGTGTGTGTGTGTTTGTGATGTTTTCTGTTTAGTGTTTATGCATTTCTTTCCAAGACATAGGAACTTTGAAAGCCCTGTAAGCATTATGGTAATTTCTAAAGTGCCGACAGTTATATTAACATTTTACACAGCTCACAGCTTTTCCGCAGACCGGCTCATTTATCTTCATGGGTTTTTATTATAAGAGGTATTTACATATTATACATATTTACAGTTCTTTCCCACCACCAAAACCAACAAAATTTCCACAAGCATTACTCATGAATTTCTTATGAACGAAAAGACGCAGAAATATTCATTGTTCTCCCTCGCTTGTTTCTCAGCCTCTTTCTGTTTGGTAATTTACCCTTTGATTAGTTCCTCCCTAGGTTCATTTACATATCCATAGGCCTCATCATTTTTGCTGCTCTAAAGAATCTTTATCACTTCAAATCTTGAGTTTCTGTGCCTGTCACTTTTCAGCTAAATCTAAAACGCTTTGTGTGTGTGTGTGTAGGTGGGGGGTGGGGGGGTTGGGGGGGATTCGAGGGGCTCCCCCACCCAGTTCCACTCCTTTCAGGAAATGCTCGTGGAACCTAAGCTAGTGCCAGGCCCTGGATTGGGATTTGCTGTGTGATCCCCAGGAAAGGAGCTCACATTTAAGCAAATGACCAACAGGGGAACAAAGGTTGGCAGATGTGAGGTCAGACAAGGCTCCTTACTTAGCTGCACCACTAAATCAGTACAGGGACAGCCTACCCTCAGTGTCATGTTTCTTATCTCAAAAGGTGTCTGTGGTGTGTGTGTGTGTGTGTGTGTGGAGGGCGCACACATAATTATAATACCTGCTCTGCCAATGTAGTGCCTAAGGCAATTGACTGCTAACCAGAAGGCTGGCAGTTCAAACCCACCAGCCACTCCTTGGAAGGAGGGTTGGGCAATCTACTTTCGTAGTGATACCACTTCCGAAACCCAAGGAGGAGTCGCTATGAGTTGGGTCCGACTTGAGGGCACACAACAACAACAAAAACAAGCTCTGCCAACCATACAGGCCTGTGGGTATTAAAGGAAAGCATGATGTGGAAATGTTTTTTAAGCTAGTGCAGGCCATGTGACCATTGTGGAATTTTATAATTCTCACTGTTGTCTGAGATTCTGAAGGTCATTGTAGTGGACACCTGTTGTGTTTTGCCTGCATGACATACATTCCCTCTTCTTTTAGGGTTAGGGCCTCTCCTGCTATCAGGGCACGTGAACTAGGTGGAGCTGGCCTTTTCCACCCCATTTCAGGGCTAGGTGATTGGCACATCCCATTCTCCTGAGCACAGTGATGGGGTCTGGCTGGGCATATGATCTAAATTGCCCAGATTCAGTCCTAGGACTTGTGGGGACTGGAGGTTGCCAGGTAAGATACTGCCAGTTACCTTTGAATTTCAAATCAACAAGAAGTAAATGTTTGGTTTACGTATGTGTCAGATATTTACTATATCTGGCAAATCTGTCTGGTCTATTTAAAGAGAAACTTTCTTTTTGTTGGGTGTGTTGAGCTGATAGACTGTAAGCCTGGAGATGCCAGAGCCACAGTGGGGAGAAGGCCTTCCTTAGGGTGAAATCAATGTAGAGAAGACAGTTGAGCAGTAGAATCTGATATATCACTCAATGCTTTGGGTCCAGCCATGCTTGAATCTGGATTACCTTGGGACCCTTTAGTTTGTGACCCAACTAACAAACTGTCTTTACATAGTTGTCGTTAGCTGTCACAGAGTCATCCTCATGACCCCATGCCTAATGGAATTAATTGCCAATTGGACTTTTGTGAGCCATAGGGAGGGTTGTCATGGCTGATTTTCAAAAGTAGGTAGCCAGCCGCTTCTTCTTAGTTAGTCTTAGCCTGAAAGCTCTGCTGAAACCTGTTCAGCATTGTAGCAATGCACAAGCCTCCTGAAGGACAGGTGGTGGCTCCGCATGGGGTGCACTGGCCCAGAATCAGACAGGGATCTCCACATGGAAGTCAAAAATCCCACTACTGAACCTCCACTGCTCCAGAAGCAGAAATAGGATGGATCATAAAAAGACACAGACTGCCTCCTGGGCCCACAGGATTGAGAAAAAGATCTCAAACACATTAACATATCTAAAGAATGTCCAAGAGGGGAGATTGGTGGTTTGTGGGAGCCAGGAGGGAGTCAAGTCAGGGATGCTAGTGCTGGCAGAGTTTGTCCCAGCACCATCCAGAGAGGGTGTCTTGGGTCAGATCATCTTCATGGGGGCTGTCGTTTGGCTGAAAGGCACTTAGAGAGCTCAGCCCCTGCCTTTGCTGTGGTTTGCTAAGATTTCAGCATGCCAATTCTGGAAAGTTTGGCTTTGCACCTAGCTTGCCTAGAGAAGAGAATGCACCAATCTGCTAGTGCAAACAGTCTGGTCAATGAAATAGATATTTCTAAGTGATATTATGGAATGCCATTCTCTTTTACAGACTCCTTCACCAGGCAGCAGTCTCCACTATCAGCCCTACCAGGTGGGAGTAGGGGAGAGTGGAGAACATGTGCAGTAGGATGATCATCTGTGAGTTACTACTCTCCCCACTAGATAGCACTTTATCTTCACAGGGGTGGCGGGGAGCAGGATTCCTTCCCTGTGCCGGATACAGTCTTTAAACCACATTCTCTCTCATTTCTGCTGATTCTGCATGAGGGAAGTGTTGGGGAAGGGTTTGGAATATGGACTGGGAATGATTATACTATGTGTGTGTGTGTGTCTGTGTGTGTATACTAGTGCCATCGGGTAGATTCTGACTCATGGTGACCCCATATATATCATAGTAGAACTGTGTTCCATAGGGTTTTCAGTGGATGGTTTTTGGGAAGTAGATTAGAAGGTATCTCTGAGTGAGTAGATCCCGAGGTATCTCTGAGTGTACTCAGACCTCAGCCTTTCTGTTGCACCGTCTAGAGACTCCCTGTGCTGTACAGGCTTCTCCAGAAAATGTTTATCTGAAATGAGACACACACCTCACCACCACAAACATTGATTTTCTCCTGCAAAATCCATCTGTTCTCTATGAAGGACTCAGGTTTCTACTATGAGCAAAACTTAGACCATATTATGAAAGCCCAAAAGTCTACACTAATCAACAACAAACGATCCTGGCTCACATAATTTCCTTGAAGCCGTTGTTGTCACCACTAGAAGGATACTATGGTTCAGTGCAACTTTCACATATATTTACATCCATCACATCCATATAAAACAGTCATGGAGTCATTGGTTTCATTCCTTCAGTAAATATATATTCAAGACTTGTTGTATCCATGCTAATAATGAGGAGCTCTGGTAGTGTAGTGCCTAAACCACTTGACTGCTAACCAGAAGGCTGGTGGTTCAAACCCACCAGCCACTCCTCAGAAAGAAGATGGGGCAATCTACTTCCGCAGTGATACTGCCTCGGAAACCCAAGGAGGGGTTGCTATGGGTCCGGTCTGACTCGATGGCACATAGCAACAACAACAACAATGCTAATAATGGAGGATGTGACATGAACAGAAGAGCCATAGTCCTTGCCCTGGTGGAATTTATAATCTCAACAGTAATTACATGAGTAAGCAGGTGATTACAGTAAGTAATTTTGATTAGTGCTGTGAAGAAGATATGAGGACTGTTATGGACATGGGTGATGCAAAGGAAATCTGACTTCCTCAAAGGTTCTCTGAAACTTCTCTGAGGGGGTGGCTTTTCTGGTGAGCCTGGAAAAGTGATTGACAGATGAAGGGCAAATAGACAAGTGCTTAAGGCAGAGAAGGGCACTGGAGAAGGCCCTGGATTTTGAAGCCCACCAGGTCCAAGAGCAGAGAGTGAAAGTGGTGAGTGGAGAAAGATGCATTTTTTATGGAGCTTGGTTTTATCCACCATACAGTGACAAGCCCCAAAGCATGTTGAGCAGAGGAGGATCAGGCTTAGCTGTCTTCTTGGGCTGTAGCCTGGAGAATGGACTGAGAGAACCAAGAGGAGAAGCAGGGGGTTGGTTATAAAGTATTTGCAATAAACCATGGAAGAGATGATGGCGGCTGGGTCAAGAAGTGAGTAGTGATGATGAAGAGAAGTGACTGTGAAGGAAGGATACTGTGTAGGAAATAAAGTCAACAGGGCTGTATGAGGGGAACACAAACAAATCTATTCTCTATGGGTTGATACAAGTTTTTGAGCCCAAATGGGTGAGGGCCAGATGATGGAGACAGGTGAACACATCAAGGAAATGTACCTGCCAACATTGGGAGCCTTCCCTGACATAGCTTTTGCTCCACACAGTAGCCTCAGAATGGCAGCACTTGTTAATTACTTAACTGGTTTCAGTTGGACTTCCCTAATCTCAGAAGAGTGTTCGTGCTTTCTTCTAGTTCTCCATTCACTTTGCTTTTGTTGCTTTTGGTCACACCCTTGGACTATCCCACAGGTTGAAGAAACTAAGGACTATATTTTTATTTCCCTTCCAAAGTACCTGGCATGCCTGGATACCAATGGTATCCAACAGTGAGTGAGAATACATTTAAATGTAAGAATGTTGCTGAAGAGCTCTG